TGTTAGAGCGGTTTGACAACTCTCAAAATAAGCCTTTTGTCACGAGCGGTTTGAAACTCGTTAAATAAGCCATATTCGTTTTTGAGCTATGGGATTGTTTGGTTGTGCGTTTTGCGCATTAAGAGCGGGTCGTGACTCTGAAACTTAACAAGTGTCTATTGCTACATTTTCAATTTTAGGTCATTCTCTATACCACATGTTAGATATCCTTCCCTCCGGTACATATAATCATCTTAGTTTCTGTTTGAGTGCAGCATGTTATTGTTATGTCTGTATCTCTATTGTTGTTAGGTTGTCTTTTGATTTTTAATTTATATTTCATTAGACTCGTTTGATTGGTATTTTGAAAGGAGAAGTATGAAAGTTGAGCAGTTACTATCGCTTATTTAGAGCCTTCGCGCGGATTTTACTACGTAAAATCCTTTCCTCGGGAAGGGGGGTATTTGTAACGTTGTAAACCTTAGACTTGGGACCTACCTTAATTCAGTTGATATTCATTCCGTTTTGCATTCCAAATAACATAATTGGATGTAATTTTAATTGTTTAAATTCACAATAATGTTGTGTTTGTTGTTTTTGCAAAGTGCCAAACCTCACATCAAAGTGACGTTACGCTTGTCGTGAAATGTCAACGTCAGTTGTCATTTCACAGATTATAGATTCACCCAATCGATAATAAAATCAATGTGCGGTAGATGAAATAATTTTGTCAATAATAGCGGGTAATTGTTTTAATTTTATTTATTAATGGATAATCGCCCGCGGATTGTTAGCCTTGAGGTCAGATAATTAAAAAGAAGTAGATATGTGTCTCTGCCTCCTACACTTGTCTATGAAATGCAATTTTCTTATAAGGCGGGTTCGAGTAGAATCTTTCCTTTCTTCTGGAATCCTGATCGCCGACCTACAACGTACTGTGTTGCATAATTTTCGCAGAAGCCAATTTTGGGCTTAATAATTTAAATTCAGTGTTTCCGTGGTTCCCTGCAAAGGGTAAGTGTTGTTGCACAGACTTATATTTAAATTCGTAAGTCGAGCATAGTGACTGTAAAATCATGTATTCGTAATTGTACTTTGAATTGGTCCGTTAGTAACGGTTACATTTACATATCATGGGGTTTCTCGTTAAATCTATTTGTTAAATGAGTTATTAGTACCGTGTTCATGATAAAGAAACGAGTATAATTTTCAATTATTAAAACTTATAATTTTCGTGTGAGGGTATATTAATATAATTTTATTCTAGTTCTCGTTCTTATCATGACACGAATCCTGTACCTATTAATTCGGGTTTAATTCCTGTTTATTATTATTATTGTTTTATCATTTTAATTTTCCACCCTTGTAAAAGACCAACCGACCGTAGGGACCTGTGATAGGATTTGGTCGGTGGTCACCAGGACATTCTGGGACAACGGTGGACTACACCCTACCTGTTTGGCGGTTTCAGGAACCACGGACGGAGTTGAAAGGCTCTGTCGAATTTAAGAGCCATGAACGGAGTTGAGAAACCCCGTGTGTAGTGGAAACCTGGAGATGGCGAGCGTCAAAGGCCTGGCCCCGTGCCAGTGCGCTGTAGCCGCCGCGTTGTCCCCGGGCTGGGATAGCGGCACCGGCATGCATCTTACCCTCATGCCATAGTTAAGTGGCCACCACCAACACCGCCAACCACGTCTCGTTTCTACCCACAATTTTTATTAGTGTAAACGCTCATCAGTGACATTGCCACCAAGTAGGCGTAGAACCCACGCCTTGTTTTTTGTTGCATAGTTTTAACAATAAATTGATATTGTTTTAAACGTGTGTTGTTTAATTTCTAATTTTAGTTTTTTATTTTTTTTGCTCGGGTTTATCCCGTAGCACCTTATTCTGGCCCAGAGAAGTCATTTGAAGATTTTTCCTCAACAAAAAAAAACAGCCTACCAGAACCAGATACTTACGAGCTTACGGTGCATCGCAATCAGCGCACGTTGCAAAAAACCATCGGGTCACTTCGTAATCATTCACTAAAAGTCTTAACCTTCTAACTAACTTCCCCTCCCGCCTCAATTAGAGCAACCGTCATTGGATGGTTTTCCATCCTTAAAAAAGATTGCTACTGATGTATTTTGTCAATAACTAAAGACCAATATAGTTGTTTCACATCCTTCTTGAATCACACAAAATATACTATATTGTTATCTAAAACGTGCATTACAATTATTATGCATTTGAGCCGCACTCTATAAGCGACATCTATTAAAATTAGAAGGTAGCTTTTAAGCAACACACTTCGCTTATTTACAAATTCCATGTTTGAACTTTGCTAAGCTAGCGACCTCTAGTCAGATTAGATGGCAGCCACGAATTAAATCGATTTATTGTTTAAAACATAGATGGCGTTATTAATTCTTGCGCTTATACATTTTTTTAATAGTAATTTAAATGCCACTTTATTAATGTCGTTTCATCTTTAAGCTGAAATTACATTTTCTAAACTCTAATTCCGATTCTTTTCGAAACTCTAATTAAAATTTGTCTCCGAAATTTTTCTGGTAAATAGGGGCGATTTTTTCCTGTAGATATGTCACAGGCGATGACTTCAGTAGAACCCGGAACCTTGATATTTGAAAATTTTAAATTCTTGTTATTACGAAGTCGTAATAATTCTTGGTCATCATGCTGACATCTTGCTAAATCAGCATAATTAATCGGTGATGGCACATCAATTTGTTCTATCCGTGACAATGCGTCTGCTACAATATTGTCACGTCCTTCTATATGTTGAATCATCATCATCTTCCTGCCCTTGTCCCGTTTTATTTGGGGTCGGCGCAATATGTTTTTTTCTTCCATTCTGTCCTGTCACTCGTCACGCTATCGCTAACTCCTCTGTCTTCCATATCACTTCTCACACAATCCATCCATATTTTCTTTGGTCTCCCCCTGCCTCTCCATCCATCCACATTTATACACATGACTTTTTTTGTTACATGCTTTTCATCCCTCCTTTTCACATGGCCATACCAAGACAAACGGTTCCCTTTCAACTTTTCAGTCACTGGCGCCACTTTCAAACTTCCTCTAATATACTCATTTCTCACTTTATCCAATCTCGTCACACCACACATCCATCTCAGCATTCTCATCTCTGCTACATGCAATCGCTTTTCATCCGTCTTTTTCAGAGCCCAACATTCTGACCCATACAGTAGGACATATAGTCCTTCTATATGTTGAATGTTGGTACAATATTGTGAAATAAAATCCAGTTGTCGTATTCGCCGTGGCGTATCATTAGATGACGGTTTTTGGGAAAATGCGTAAGTCAAAGGTCGATGATCTGTAAAGATAGTAAATTCTCTTCCTTCGACTAACCTTTGAAAATGTTTGACTGCCATATATATTCCGAGCAACTCTCTGTCGAATGTCGAGTATTTTTGTTGAGTATCACTTAATTTCTTTGAAAAGAATCCTAATGGTTCCCAATTACGTCCTGACTTCTGCTGCAGAACTGCGCCAACACAGGTCGAACTGGCGTCCGTCATAAGTGCCAAAGGGGCGGTGCGAGAGGGGTGAACTGTTAATACTGCGTTCATTATATTTTCCTTGCATTTATCAAAAGCTTTTTCGGCCTCTGTACGTGTTGAATTTATTAATATCTTGTCCGCGATCTGGCTCATCTTGTTCACATCTATGTCTTCTGTGACTGCTAGAACCGAAGTCACTGATGGTGGCAGAAGCCTCAACCATAGAAGTTTGATGGTTTCGTCGCTGATATTTCCGTTACTCAGGGTCCGCATCTTGCGCAGAAGATGTGATGGTTTCTGGTCGCCGAGATCCATTTCAGACAATAATTTTTGGAGCTGACGTTGGTCTGATTCCTCATAGCAACTGATTAGGCGTTCTTTGATAGCCTTGTACTTTTCTATTGGCGGTGGGCAAGTAATGAGGTCACTAACCTGTATTATTTCTTCTTTTGGCAGTTTTGCAATGACCGTATAGTACTTGTAATCGTCTCCTTGCTTCTGTGGTGCTACTATGGCTTCTAGTTGCTTAAACCATAATCTGGGTTGGTCCCTCCAAAATTCCGGAATACGGGATAAAATGGCGGTTCCGGCTGATATCTCCAAGGCTTCTTGTTGGCTGCTGCTTGATTTGCAGGGTGAATGAGTCATGTTGATTGTTCTTCGTCGGGGTCACCAATTTGCCAGACTTCGTGGCAAGGTAAATAATGAGACTGTAGATGGTTAAGGTCTGTTTATTACTTTAATTGCTGGTGCTTATATACTAAGAAGATGCGTGAGATTTTCAGATTTAGCTATCCTAACAAACGTGCAACAATTAACATGTATGTCTTATCTCTATCGTATCTAAGTAATGTAGCGACGTGATAGTGCCGCTACACAAGTGAATATAGGTACGTCTTGCAATAAGTTTTAACCATATTTATTCGTTGTTGTTGGTTTGAATTTTTTAATGTTTAACTACATATAGTGTCGTTGTTAACGTAAAGGTAAACTTATGAATGATACGAGGAAACGACACTTTGTGTGATCTACAAATGTTATTTCGGGTCTGGGAAGCTTGTATGTACCTAAATTTGTATGTTTGTAAACGCACCCACGAGACAAAAGAAAATTGGAAAAGGCAAAAAAAAAAAGACTGAACCTATTCTGTCTGCATGATAAAAATATAGGTTATGGTTTTAATACTACCAACCTCTGCCACGTCGATAGTTCTTTGTTGAATTAGTAAATGACAAAACTACAATTGCTGTGACCTTCTTTATAAACTCATTCTTACATTTTTATTCACAATTTCTTTAGATTAACATCGCAAAACTACTTACTTTTAAACCTTAAACACTATATACAGTCAGAAATCAGTTTTGTTAATATTTCATTGTATTTATCAATATATTGGTAATTAGGTATAAAAAAAACTAATTTTATTTTTGAATAGATTTATAGATCTCAATTTCCAATCATTGATAAATACAATGAATGCGATTATTAAAATCAGTATTGATAACCATTGTTGGCATTGAAGCCTCCCTGGTGATTAGCAGATCCAAATCCATTGCGTTGACCACCTCCATGTTGTTCAGGGTGGTATTTACCTGGAAATTATAAAAATATTTTATATTATTTTTGAAAGAGGACATTCTTCTTATACCTTCTTGAGTCCTGGGTAGGCCAAGGGGAAGTGTCAGACTCTTACTGACTAAAAAACTTCTCTACTGCTCCGGGCCGGAGCTGTGGTACATTAGTGTCTTGCACCTTATGAATGAAATACATTTGCGAAAATCACTACTCTTCCCATGACGGGTGTCGTTAGAACCGAATTTAGATTGTAGTCCTTAGATTACAATCTAGCTTTACTGACAGACCACCTAGAGCCACGAATCACGAACCCTTAGCTATTAGGCTAGATATCCTGTTTCTTGGGCGTAATTAGGTACCTGTGAATAGTTGAGTTAAAAAAATGTTTACTAATGAAATTTGACAAAGAACGGGCAGCAATACTCTCTGACCTTAGATTTTTAGCGTATAGTATCCAAACCAAGCGTGGGGCGTTTGGAAAGTCATATTGTGTAGAAAACTGTCACGGTTCAGTTCAGAACCTGTTTATAAGTATAACCAAAATATTGTTTAAAAGACAATGTTATGGAGATTAAAATCCTTTATGTAATATGATAAATGTAGTACTAATCTTACCTAAGCCTTTGGTAGGTACTTAAGACTTAATACATTCAATAGTAAAGAAAAGAAAAATCTACCGCACCTTAATAAAATATGACTCTTCTACTACTACTCACCATCATCAAAAATTCCGGCAGCTTCATCCTGTTCATTCTTCCTCAATGCCTCCAGGATTGCTTCAGGTGTAGGAGGTGGAACTGGCAAGTGCTCGCCTTGAGGTCTGAAACCACCTTCTCCTGAGGTATAAGTGACGGTGTACGTGTGACCATCGTCACCCTTGTAGGAGAATCCACCCTGGGCTTGAACTGGGTTGCCTGCTTCTTCAGCTCGAATGCCATTTGAAGTTTCAAAGCCGAAGTGGTAGCCTATGGAATAAGATGATCGTAAATTTAGTAGGTTAAGCAGTGATGCACTACTTTGCTTGTAAGACTAACATTGTTAATCCTATGGTGACGGGATGACATTATCGGTTATTGTAAAAAAAAAAATGATGTAGATAATAAAATTTAAGTGAAAGATAGAGTAGAAACAGAAACCATTATGCAAGGCTTGTTTGAATTTGTCATTGCCCCTTGTAGACCGTTCGTTTTTTTTTCTTTAGTCATACTAAAAAAAAAATCAATCCATTACAAAAGATACTTTATCAGAAAACGATATAGCACTGTTTACATTAAGCCCTTCACAGAACAATAAATATTAATTGCAGCTTTTGTGGCATAACAAGTAAACGTAAATGAACTAATTTAGAATACTCACGTATGAGAAGTCAAAACCTTGACATATGAAGATCACAAGGGCACTTTCATTATTGTTTCGTGAACTACAAACGAGGCACGAATTCAAAATAATACCTTCATTCTTGTGGCTTTGGGCGATCACAATATTGAAGTAAACAATAAGAATTAATTCGATGAGTTTCCAATGGGAATATTTATGGTTATTTTATGCCTTCAAATCCGTTCACATTTTGATGATGTGCTTAATAGCGTCGGTTTACAAACACGAATTTTATATGATGCCTGTACTAAGTTGATAACTAGCCATCTTTAGTTATATTAATTAGATACACTACTATGATTATGATAATATGAATTATACTGCTACTATTTAATTTTGAAATGAACTAATACTTTGAGCTGCAAGCTATAAACTATACCATATCCAAAAAAACATAATTAACATGATTTATTTTTATTTAAAAACTACAGTTATCCAGATTCCGACACCGGTGTTCAGATCATCCATTTGGCTATTAGGCTTTTATCAAATTTATTAACCCTAAACTTTAAAGCTAAGCCTGCCGCCTAATAGGCGTGTAGAGTATAAAAACTAGCCGACCCGGAAAACTTCGTTTCGCAAGAAAATAACTAGGTAATAAACCTTCCCTGGATTTCGACAAATTCAATAATGAAATTTGCCCAAACTGGACCAACCGCTCTTGAGAGTTTCATTTTTGTATATCAGAAGATATGCAATTAATTTTTTTACTTACTTCCATCTTCACCGATATCCTGATCTTGTTTCAAAGTAGCGGCATTCTTTTCAGCATCCTGTTGAGGTCTTCGGTTTCCATTACCAGCTCCTCCAAGATTGAATCCCGGATCTATTTGGGAGCCATGGTAAGTTTGGAAGCCACCTTGCCCTCCATGACCTTGGTTTTGTGGGATGTAGTTTCTTGATGGGATTTGAGCCGCTCCCAAAGTGAAGAGAACGCTGATAATTAACTGCAAAATGTACATAAAATTGTAGATATATTTCTAGTTACATTTACTTTTTTTTTATTGTGCTCATTTTAAAGTTCATAAGTTAGGCGTGTCATTCTAGTCGGAGTTAGTGAAACTGTCTTTATTATGCTCTAATATTCAGAGGAACGAAAAGATCGCTACTTATTAATTCTATTATTAAAAAATATAAATATTATATAGTTTTTTTTTGCACTTTTTCTTGGTTACAAAATACACACCAGTTTCATATTTTTGTCTTCAAGTTTTCACTACAAAAAGCAAACTGTGTCTCTTCCAACAATTCCTTCCACTTTTATATGTGAACGTATAAAGTTAAAGCTCATTAAGAGTAATAAAATCGGGTGACATCGCATCGAAGCCTTGTAGTTTTACTTGAAAAAACATAATGTCAAAAACTAGAATTTTACTTTCTGTTTTGGTGCGCAACGGATGAAAGGGAGCGATCAGAATTGTTATAAGATGTCTTGAAGGACGTTTTACATATGGAGTTTGAAATAAATTTGTGATAAACGTATTCAATTACAAAAATGTACCTAAAAGGATACATAGAAACATACCGACCATACTCGGCAATAGAAGTAGACAACCATATTTTGAGCTGCTTTGTAAAATCCATTCCAAATTGTTGAATTTAGTTCTAAACTCCAAACTGAAATCAACCTCATTATTCATACTACGTGACTACGTGTTGCATGGTTCCGTCAATTGAGCATTTTATTATCATTTTTTATCCTATGTAACTCCTTTTTAAGCGGGAGATATCAACCTAAGATTCGATTTATCTTGGGCGGAGCAAGAAGGAATATCGAACCTTCAATAATTAAGATAAGATTTTCAAGAGAGAAAAATTACTTATCAAATACTTTCTGTTACTAAGGGTGAGGCAAAGGAGAGTGTCCGACTCCTATTTGCTGAAGACCACCCCGTTCCATCTCTTCATTCGAGTCAGGTCACGATTCTTCATTGCGCCTTGCCCATGTACCAGGGATGGCTGGAAAGTTATCTACCTAACATAGAAAGAAAAGACATAGGAAGCTCATTTTTTTTTATTTTTCAATATAGTCCCCTGGTACCGTAATGCACTTATTACATTTGTCAATAAGCGACATTAAACCGTCAAAATAATATTTCTTTGATTGGTCGTCAAAATGGCCATTCACAGCGGCCTTTATTTCTTCATCGGTCGGAAATCGCCTCCCTCTTAGGCTTTTCTTCAAATTTCTAAATAGAAAATAGTCACAGGAGCCAAATCTGGGGGTATGGTTATGGTATTATAGGGTGGATGGTTTAGTTCCGTGAAGCAATTCTTGCTTAAGACTGACCTTGCATGTAAAGCTGTGTGGACCGGAGCATTGTCTTGCAAAATTAAAACTCCTTTGCCGAGTTTGCCTCTTCGTTTTTCTTTTATGGCTTCTCGCAGTTGGTCAAGTAAGCTGGCGTAGTAAATTGCGTTCATCGTAGTATTTTTTTGTTTGTAATCTATCAAAAGAATCCCCTCGACATCCCAAAAAATTGTTGCCATAAGCTTGCCTGCCGATGGCCGAACCTTAAACTTGCGCGGTGGCTTCTCCCCTTTAAATTTCCACTGTAAAGACTCCTGTTTGCTTTCGGTGTCCCATTGGCGAATCCAGGTTTCGTCGCAGGTTACTATTCTAGAGATAATTTCTTCTTCTCTGTCTTTTACTAGGTCCAAAAATGCCTCACAACATTCGACGCGTCGTTGTTTATCAAAGGGCGTCAGCATTCTCGGTACCCATATCGTGCGCTTACCTTTATCATCCCTAAATGTTCGTGAATAATAACGTGAATACGTTCCTTACTAATCCTGACATCCCTAGCGATTTCCCACTGCTTGACTCTCCGATCTGCGAGTATAATTTTTTTCACTCGAGCCACCGTGTCTACTGTGACTGCAGAAAGCGGCCGTCCGCTACGGGGATCGTCTTCCAGACTCACACGGCCATGTCTAAATTGTTTTGACCAAAAATTAATAACAAAATTGGAAGGACATGAATCGCCAAACACATTAGACATTAGTTGTTTTATTTGCGAAGGAGTATTTCCTTCTTTAGTTAGGACTTTAATCACGGCACGCTGCTCAATTTTAAGCATTTTATTATTTTCATCCGACATGTTTACTATGTTAGTGGACTATTCGTAATGAAAACAATTAAAACAAATGAATGCTATTATTTTCAAATAAGGAATCCATAAGTATTAAAGCTTCATAGTGGCCAGTATCATTTTTGTAACTTTATTGAACAAAGTAGATTATATATCAGCCACCCCTCGTACCTACATATACTCTATATTTGTGATCTAAAGGTGACCTTAGATCTTATAGCGAAAAATTATATGTTTTAGCTTTAGTCCCTTTATCGTATTCCATATGTAGCACCTTCGCAAGAACAGCAGCTACAATTATATATTACACAATATAATTATGAATTACAATGTTTAAAAATAATTTATGTACGTTTTATTGTTAAGCTGCCCTTGTTTCAATCGCATCAAGGTTGCACTCGTACATCAGTACGTGGAGATGAGCTTGATGCGATAACCAATGATTCAGATTTACTAGAAAACTGTACATGTTTCGTACATTCAATTACAATAATACAAGTACACAATGGAACCAATAAATTGCCCACTTTTGAAGTGGTAGTTAAAAACATGTACCTAAATTCTCTAAATGAGTGAGATCACGGTTCATATAAAACCAATGCGAAACACCGCTAGCAAGATTTCAGTGTGGAAGAGCCATGCTTTGACACGAATGGGTCGACTCGACCGGAGTGATACCACGGCCTCACAGATAACCACACAACCATGCGTTGTGTTTCGCCGTATGAGTGAGGTTACCGGAGGTCCACTCCTTCCTATCCCCCGATACCTCCCCAAAACCCTAATCCCTAAAAGGTCGGCAATGCACTCGTAACTCCTCCGCTGCGGGTGTCCATGGGAGGCGCTGTTTGCTTTATCATCAGGTAATCGGTCTGGTCATTTGCCGAACGATTAAATAAAAAAAATATCACCAAAAGACCAGCACATGTGGCGTAGGTCCTTCTGGTGTTGCGAAAGTCCTCCTTAGTTACCCCAATTAGTTCTCATCAGGTGTTCGTTTTCATCTCTCTCATGCGAATGAAAAAACCACCGGCAAACTGGGAAAAATTAACAAGCCGCATAATAAGGCAGATGTGAAATATAGCCATAAACGAGACTGACTTCTAGAGTAAATTGTATTGATGTTATACAGCAATTAATTGCCAAGTCGAGTCTAGAGAAGGGTAAAATTTGCAGAATCGTTTCGCAAATCCATTCCGCTTACTTTGCAGCTAGTATTGTTTAATTTGTCGAATCAATTCGGATTTTGAAACGAGTTTATGATCTGTTAATCGTGTCTTCATTAATACTATTTTATCTGTTTATTATCTAGTATCTGTAATAATTGAAGAGTTGAAGAGAATTGAAAACTATTACGTGAAGACAGAAGAGCAGTTATGTCCAATTAATATTTCTGAGTGTGTTGCTAAGCGCCAAACTCAATAATAGCTGAATTAATTAAACCTTCATAATGACCTTTCTTAAATGTAAAGACACATTTTAGTTACATATGAATGTATATAAAATATGTCAAAATATGTATTATTCAAATAGTAGGTGGCACTTCTTGCCGAGTCTGTGGACGACAAGAACCAGACCCAAGCACCAGGCTCAAAGATCCGTCATCAGACCACCACGCTGCCATTCTGTCTCAAAAAGTACCTTCTTCTTACCGTACTCAAACGACTTTTCTCGCCTAGGTTAAGGCGAGAGGGAGTATCAGACTCAGACTTTTACTGGCTAAACCTCCCCCCCCCGCTCCTTCTCCTGCTCTAAGCCGAGGTCGCAGTACCTTATTACCCCGCAACCCAGGAAAATAACTTTAAAAACTACCCAGTAATATCTAATACAAAATATTAACTGGACAAAAAGCCACCTAGCTACATATAGTTGTAATGCTATACAACTAGTAAATGTATTATATATATTTCGCATATATACAAAGGAACCGATTGATGAATCAATACGTACTTTGGAATTTGATTGGAACTACGTCATAAATGAATTAAATAAAAAAAAGCGTACGGCAAGTTTGATTTTTATTCAAGCACTAAAGATTCCGTAGGCCGTAGCCTGTTTGTTATACTCTCTTATTGCAGCGGTAAGACCCCTTTTAGGGGTGGCTAGGGAGATGCCATGTCATCCTTACTTTCCACTTGGTGCAGTTACTTACAGGACACGGTAGTTTCGGAAGCTTTCTGTTTCGGATCCGGCAGAACGAAAAGCCCGAGTGTCGCCATTGTGAGGACCATCCAGACGACATGGCGGTTGCGGTGTGTCCTGCCTGTCTGTGAGCATCGCAATATCCTCCAGGAAATAATCGACGGCCGCGAATTCTTGCATCCAGCCTTGGTCGAGGCCATGGTGCGGATCGAGAGGAATTGGGAAGCCGTCTTCTCTTTCCGCAAAGCAGTGATGCTAACAAAGGAGGAGGCGAGCAAGGATAGTTCGACGAACGACCAGATCTAGACAAAACAGGACCCAGGGTCGTGGGTCAAGCTATTGATTCCGCAGCGTCGCCGGCCTAGAGCTGGAGAAGGAATGTGACTTCATTATTTAACTAAAATTTAATTACAGAACCCTACAAACCATTTACAACCAAACTACAAAGTAAGTATAAGAATTAAAAAGAAAAAAAAAACACCAGAAAAGATGGCCAACGATTAAAAGGCAGGTGTTTATTTGTATAAAAAAACTTACAATAAAAACGTAATATTTTGTTTGATACGAACCGTATCTAAATATTAATGACTGTGGTGAATGAAAATCAATTAGCTGTAGCTCTTTTACATACTGTTCGATCAACGGAGTAGAATATTTTTGTGGATACAATATACTTGTAAAGTACAGGCAGGGATAAATATGAATGGCTATGTAACGAATATTGTATTCACTCGAAGAGAGTAAACAAAATTATCTTCTTACTTAGGATAAAAAATTATGCAAATTTAAAATACACTTTTCACATTCGCTCTTATTTAATCTTACTAATATTATAAATGCAAAAGTTACGATGTTTGGATGTTTGTAATCAAACATGCCAAAACGGCTGGACGGATCTGAATGAAATTTGGCACATGCATAGGATTCTCTCCAGAACAAAGGCAATTTTATATCAACAAACCACGCGGGCGAAACCACGTGCGGTAACTAGTGATTTTATATTTATTAGAAATGTTTCTCAACTAAATTAAATACTTATTATATTTTCTGAACATCGAAAAATAGCATTGGAACAAAATTTTATTTAAGAAGAAATCTAAAAAAGAAATTTAGTATTATTTTAAAATCTACTAATTTCTGTTTTTTAGGACATAAAAATTACCAGAATATTGTATTCTATTCAAATCTCTCAAGCGCTACAATATTTTTAGTCTGACTGTACCTACTCGCAGAACTAAATAACATAAGAATAAAATGTTTTACCATTCATCTCATTAAACAATTATAATGAACGTGCAATCAAAATAAGATATCTTGAGTGATTAGGAAATTATGATTATTCTCCAGAAAATAATAATTATCAAAAAAAAAGAATTTTGAATAATGGTTACATGTATTTTTTAATGGATTCAATATTCCTCAATGATGAACTAAAGAAAAGAAAATTAGTATTAATTATTGCTTGGATGACTGTAATATTATGACAATTTAGCAATTATCCAAAATGCATGATACTGGTAGGGATTGGCCATGTTGTTAGCCGGGGGGTTGCGAGTGCAAATGCATTCCGTTCCCCCTTCTGGTGTGCCCAATTTTTAGTTCGTAAGAGTCTGCAGCCCTACTTGAGACAGGAAACGTTATTAAACATCTTCTCTGCATCAAAAAAAGCTAGTACTAATAATAAGCAACTTGCAAATCCCAAACCTCGTGCTAATCAATCGAACTAATCTCATCTTTTTGTACAGATTAATTAAATACAAATAATTTATTATAACTCTAAGTAAATAGACGTGGGCTCATCACCTACATTAGGTTCACGACTGCTGTTTACATCCTCGTGTATAAACAATAAAATCCTTGATTTACAGAGAAATTTTGACATACGAGGTCGATCACGTTTGGTAGCAATAAAATGCCTCAATTTAATTACATGAGGTATCATAGCTATGGTTTATTATTTGAGCTATAAAATGACGTCAGACGCGTGTGTTCAGGATCAACAGCAAATGGTATATAATGGGTCAGTCGAGTCGCAGCATCACAGTCCAATCTGAGCTTTATCCATTTTGCTTCGAGTGAACCTACCTAGATCAACAAGAAACATGAAACTGGTAATTATTCGTTTGATTGTTTATAATTATTTTTTATTAAATTTCTGTGAATTTCTGTGTGTATTTTATAAAATATGATTTAACTTATGTTTGAAAATTAATTTGGTTTTTCGTGGTGTTATTATATGTATACTCGACACACAAAAGCTACCAATTTTTCAATCAAATTTCAATCTCGAGAAAATACTTTAGTGAGTAATTCACCTAAGTGTAATATAACTTGAAGACTTGCATTATCGTCATTCCATTGAAGACTTATGTTTTTCTCTAAGACATGGCCTTATATTTTTATTCTTTCTACAGTTCGTGATCGCCACCCTTATCGCCGTAGCTGCTGGAGCTCGCTTGGAGCACCTGGAACGCGCCTACCTCCCTCCTTTCCAAGGAGGGGTTGGTGGACAAGGCGCTCAGGGTTCATTCGGAAGTAACTCTGGATTTGGTGGAGCTGGAGCTGGTCTAGACTCCAACGTTGGCAACGCTTTCCCTGGTGCCACCTCCAACCAATACCTGCCTCCTGACCATGGACCTTCTGGATCTAATGGTAAACTTTAATTTGGAAATTCGTCTGTAAATAATCTTACCATAAGATGTGTAATAAATAAATCTGATCATTTAGATAGTTAATGATTGTCAGTTTAACAACATATACGTAGTCAACGTTTACTACCATATCAGTAGAAAAATAGTTTAATAAGTGAGTTTTTGTTTCTTTTCTTTTTTATTTCTCTCAAACACTTTATTTTCCTTTTGTGAATATGTCAAAAAGACGTTGAATTTTTTTAAGAATATGTACAATTTCATTTCTTGTCCCTTTTTCAGGATTCGGTGCCCAAAACTACCGCAGCCAGCAGTACAACGGTTTCCAAGCACCTCAACAGTACCAAGCTCCTAACTCCTTCGGTGCCAACTACCAGGGCCAGTACTCACAGCAGTCTGCCGCCACCAACCGTCAATACCTGGCTCCCAACACCGGCTCCTACCAGAACCCTCCCCAGCAACCCTTTGACGAACAAACTGGATACCTCTACTAAGAAGCATCATGTCCCTTATTATTTTAGTCAAATAGTTGTGATAAAGTGATGTAAATAATTAAGACATATTTTCTGATGAAAATTATAAAGAAATTAATTTGATAACAACTCAAATTCAACTTTTAACGTATAATTTTAAAACTAATAAAGTAAGTTCAAAATATGTTTCTTTCATTGGTTAATAATACAGTTAATAAATATTTATAAGGTTAATAAAAATATGAACTGAATATACCTATTTAAGAGCAAATGACTATGTTAATCAACAATTTGCATCGCACAATCATAGTTTTCTATTGAATTTAATAATAACATGCATTTGATTCAGCGTGTTTCTGAACTACATTGAGGAATAACCAAAACTCCAGTGAGCCTATGGCAATGAAACCTTATTCCTAATATAATTGAGCTCATTAAAAAGTAAATACGATACCCTGTATCGTTTTTCTACATATATATTGGCTAAATTATAGGTATTAAATAATCTTACTGACTATAATATTTCTTCCTTTGACTTAGTTGTTGAAACAAAATCAGGCTGCTAAAAGCTTTTTAAAATTTATTGTAATTATTCAGTTATTATTAAGAAACAGTTTTGCAGTTTCAAATGAATCTGAATGTTATCTTGACATCGCTTTGAAATGCCCTGCTTTAAACTATATGTATAATGGTTTCTTATCATGAGTTTTACTTACATATTTACGTTTGATATAAATAGAATAGAAATCTTATAATAGATCTATCCTATCCTATCCTACTTATCTTATATTTAAAATAGAAAAATGATAAAAACATAAAAACTTGGATGTTATGAACAAAATATAGACGTGTTTTACACATCAAAAATAAAAAGTCCGTTAATCTATCCGTCAATGAAGCTTGATGCTAGTTCCTAAATGTATATTTCTCATAAGAAATATCTTTATTAAAATTATATGTATATAGTGTACACACGGATAAGCATAGCCATACAAACTGGTTTTCCTACCATTCAACGATCAAATTATTCCAATTTTGCATAACTCAATACGCAGCCGCATGTACACTTGGGCAAATATAAAGTCCTCTTCAGACGTTACTGAAACAAAGCCTGTGGTCACTATGGGCATCATCAGCAACAAAGTCCCACTGTGCAATTCTTATTGTGGGACCTTAAAGACAACCAAGAAAATAATAATGACATATGCGATGTACGACTAACCTGCGTCAAAAAAATGTAATATTTTTAATTTTAAAAGCCAAAACCGTCATGATGGCCCTGGGATTAAAGCGCCCTCTTCTCATACATTATGGTGTGGGTTCAAAACCTGGAAAGTACCTACCAATGTGACTCTTTTCGAGAAATAAATAATTATGTATTTTCTATAATTATTACTGACTTAGACTTAAACTTAGTTATTACTGACATACGGTAACCTAAAACATCGTGAGGAATCCTAAACTCACAATTTGGAATAATATGTTTGGGATCCTTAATCAGTCTTAAGAAATCCTGGTGATGATGCTCTAACCTTATCCATGTGAAAAGAGGCCTTTGCTCAGCAGTAAGCAATATAGGCTGATGCTGATGATGACGATGAAAAGTCAAATAAGACAGATACGACGTCAAGTACATAAATATGAAGTGGAATTCTTTAGACAGGACACTTATATACTTATACATGGTAGGTGGAGTAGAATTTCGACCGAATGGCCAATAATGAAAAGGGGCGTCAAGATCTTCCAAAAATGAGTTGGGTAGATGAGAATTGTAAATCAAGAAGTATTATAGAATAACGAGGCGAGACTAACAATCGGTAAAATTGGATTAATATAATGATAATGATGGATGCATACTTTCAAACGATTCGCTCAAAAATCCCAAATGAAATTGGAGCGCATATTGCGAAATTTTCTTCAAAATATAATTGCAAAAGCGGATAGATATTAGTACGTCTGCTTTATTGCAATTGTATCATATTCAAGATCTATTGATACGTATCAATTTATTTGATCGTCTTGCTTCAATATTTTCAATCTTATTCACACAATCAATATTACATAATAGACTTAGTGGAAATGTGAAGTTGTTACTAAATACAAAGAACATATTCGATTTCTTATGCATGTGTGTGTATTTGCAAGGCTTGGATTAGTTTCAATCCCCAATTAGAATGGCGTCAACAAATAGTCTTTTAAGGTTGAAAATGATTTGATCTTCCTGCCCTAAGAAAGGGAGTGTCAGCGCTGTACTATTACGCACCCGTTATACTAAAAAAGACAAGAAATCATTATTATATCTCTGAATTTGCTATTTTTGATTATGTTTCACAACACATTCAAAATTGCTAGCTGATCTCGGGCGGTTTCACTTGCTGCTCGGCCCCTATAGATCGTAGCGTGATATTTAAAAGGCTATGGTATTCATAAAAATTGTATCTATCAATCAGTTCAAGAGTTTTGGAAAATTTCGATTTCTTATGAATGTGTGTGTATTTGCAAGGCTTGGATAAGTTTCAATCCCCAATTAGAATGGCGTCAACCAATAGTCTTTTAAGGTTGAAAATGATTTGACTTTCCTGCCCTAAGAAAGGGAGTGTCAGCGCTGTACTATTACGCGCCCGTAATACTAAAAAAGACAAGTAATCATTATTATGTCTCTGAATTTGCTATTTGAATATGTTTCACTACACATGTTATATTGCTACCTAATCTCGGGCGGTTTCACTTGCTGCTTGGCTCCTACAGGTTGTAGCGTGATGTTTTATAGCCTGTACTCAGGAAGATTGCAGCTATAAATCAGTAAAAGATTTTTGGAACTCCGACCAGTGATTTAAAAAAATACCCCAGACATACAAATAACAAATTTAACCTCTTTATTATATAGGTATTAGTGTAGATAATAAATGAAAAGAACAAAATATTAAGAAGAAGTTCTATGTCATACTTAGTACAGTAAGCACCGAAATATCCGAAAACGTGACATGACACTTTAGGATAACATCGTGACATCGTATAGTCGACTTATCACAGTCATGACTTGCACCGCTAGTTTGACGAAAAAAAAGTAGCGAACGGTTCTATCAATGAAGTACGGACGAACCAAACCCCTCCCTATCTATTTAACGTACCAAAAGACCACTTTACTTGGTCCTTTGTCCAACCAAATTACTAGAAATCCTTGGGAATGATGATCACAGTGAAATTTGACAGTCGAGGTCAATCACGTTCGGTAGCTCAAAATGTTTAAAACTAATTACTTAGCCTATCATTTAGTTTTGTTTATGAGGTGACGTCAGCTGATTCAGGATCGGTGGTCGGTATATAATGGATCAGTCGAGATGCAGTATCACAGTACAATCTCAGCATCTTTCATTGCTACTCCACTGCACTCACCCACCCAATCAATACAACATGAAGCTGGTAACTAAATTTTGTTTAATACATTGTTGTGTTTAAAGTTTTATATTATTGCAATAAATATTGTTGAGACTATATATCGTGATCAAAAGTTATTTTAAAATAAAATCGATTTAATAATAATCAATTTCAAAAATTCACAATATTCATAGTGCCTAAATATTAAGCAATATTTTTTGAAGTAAAGACTACACTCAATGAATAGTAAAATGGAGTTTCTTGCTTGTTCTTATCCATTCGAATCAATTTTGGAACGAGCACCTATGTTCACTGACGAACAGACTGACAGACTACTATTCTATTTTGACTTTGACTTAGTATTTGACTGCACCATCAATGTAAACATTGCAGTTCGTGATCGCCGCCCTCGTCGCCGTGGCTGCTGCCGGTCGTCTGGAGCACCTGGAACGCTCCTACCTTCCTCCCGACAACTCCGTCGGAGTCGCCAGGTCCTCCTTCGGTTCCAACGGAGGCTTCGGCTCCGGCTCTCACGGATCCTTCGGGTCCAACTCTGGTGCCTTCGGTGCCGCTGGAGCAGGTCTGCAGGGCAACAACGCTGGAGCTCGCTTCTCTGGTGCTACCTCCAACCAGTACCTGCCTCCTAACCATGGACCTTCTGGTGCCCAGGGTGCTCCTCAGTTCGCTGGCTCTCTGAATGGTGAGATTTAATAAGTCCAAATAATTTTAATCATATAAAATGCTTAAAAATGTATTCCAAGTACTCTTTGTAGCCGATATTTTACTCATCATCATTATCCGCAATCGAAGGTATGTAATAGCATACTAATGAACTCATAATTTAAACCACTACTATCCAATTTATGGATACTGTAATATTCGCAAGATTTGTAACAAATGCCAGAAACGCGTTTTAAACTAACACTGTTTTCCTATAAATATTGAAGGCTTTAAAATAATCTTAATGTGCATGTCCAATACAGGTTTCAGTGGCCAGAACTTCCGTAGCCAGCAGCAGTACAACGGTAACGGTGCTGCCCACGGTGCTGGTCATGGTGCGGCTCATGGCATCGCTCAGCAATACTCTTCCCCCAGCTCTCAGTTCGGATCCCAGGGTTCCAACTCCTTTGGATCTCACTCTTTCGGATCTCAGGGATCTCACTCCTTTGGATCTCAGGGCGCCAACTCCTTCGGATCTCACCAAGGCCAGTACTCCCAGCAGTCTGCCGCCACTAGCCGTCAGTACCTGGCTCCCAAGACCTACCAGAGCTCTCCCCAACAAGCTTTCGACGAGAAAACTGGATACCAGTACTAAGCCCTTTTTCTTAGTTATTTGAGTATCTTTGTAGCAAATGTATATATGTATGCAAATAAATAGCTGTGTATAATATTATGAGAGACTATTATTTCCAAATAACAAACCGAATTAATAATTATATTATTGATGCATGATTCTTCAACACATATTGTATATCTTATGCGTATTCATATAAGTAGTAAAATGGTTTGAATTTGAGCTAATGGTTACAAAGTCGTACCAAAATTAGAATCTTAAAAAAATTAAACCCAGTACCTAATGATAACGAAAAAACTAAAAAAATATAGGTACTTAAACTAATTTTATTTGAATACTTAAATACCTACCTTTTCAAATTTAAAAAGTCGGTGCTACGCCACTAAATAAATTTAATCATGAAACGTCCTAAGAAGTTAAAATTAAATTTTGTTAATGTGTGGCAACGACTTCTTTTTTTTTCTTTAATATGTTTAGATACCGCGTATATGTCAGTACCATCGTACCTTATTGTCTATTTAAACCTATTAAATTTACTTATCAAAACGTTATTTACTTATCCGACTTCTTTATGATAAAATAATAGCCTACAAACCGTTTTCCGTACATAGAAAAAAACATGAACTGATAACTTTTTTTTTTGCCCACCTGATAGTAAGCAGTGATGCAGTCGTTGATGGTAAGGCGCACTTGTTTATTTAGGAAGTCAGTTTAAAATATCAAAACATCTGATTTCTATGCGGTTGGTGTTTATAAATAGCTTATATAAGATTTTTAAACAAAAAACAAAGATTCAGAGATAAGTAGACCAAAATTTTATGCCCAACTCTTAAGTGATTATTATTAATTTGGTAATCTAAGGTTGATCTTATACAAAAGATACTTAAATAATAGTTTTAATCTATTTAAGGTTGAAAGACGCCTTGTACTCCGTTATTAAGTATTATTAACTTGTTAGCATTCATAGTTTTTTCTTCATAAAATCGTTTAATGAAAACTGTTTAAAACTATTCAGATCCTAATCAATATAATAATAAACTGCCAATCACGAATTTTGGGAAAAAAACTATAATGTGTTTGGTAAGCATATTAATCAGATATTTAGAGTTTTTAAAGCAGCCTTTACGTGGATGATTAAATTTATGGCAGGTTTTAAGGTCATCAATGTATGCTTTATACAAAAATGTAAAAAAATATAAATTAAATCTAAAGTTGGCAAGACTACAAACGTTGCATGGGGATCAAGGGCGATCTCCGGCCACCGTAAGTGTGGGCCTGCGGACGACGAGTAATAGTAACTCGCCGCCCGATTAGAACCAGACCAGTGTAGTGTTCCGCGCACGCCGTAAGAGCCAACAGACACAGACTTCCACAGAGACTTAAGAGAAGTCCCTCTAGCCTCTTCTTGGGCGAGAGAAGCCATTTGATAATTGTCTCTTAATTTTTTTGTATATGATAGTACGGCCAACGGTCTGACGGAATACTTGATGGTAAGCAATCAGCGCCGCCCATGGACACTCGCAACAACAGAGAAGCTACGAGTGCATTGTTGACCATTTTGGGATTAGGTATTTGGAGATGTAGGAATTGAGGGAAGGGAAGGATTGGTCCTTCGGTAACCTCAATCATACGGTAAAACACAACGCTGCAGTTGTTTAAGGCCGTGGAATTACTCCGGTTGAGCCGACCCATTTGTGCCAAAGCACAGCTCTCCCACACTTATAGCCAGCGTAATTAATTTTATTGTGGCTGCAAACATTTTTGCCCATTTACTACTGGGATCAATTGGTGTGCATGATTTATTAATTTCAAAGATTGTCCATGACAGTACAGAGTCCGGAGTTTTGCATAATTCCATAAGTGTGTACTGTGACAAAGTACGACGCCTAAAGAGTTGTTATCAGATCTTTAAGAAGAGGATCAGGGCCGATGCCCAAGTTCGACCGTGTTGATGTTTTGTCAGAAGAGTTTGACGCTCTCTCTATCCTTCTCCGGAATGGGGAAATGAGAAATCCGATGATAAAATCCACAAAAATATTCTTCAAATTCGGAGATGTGCTTGTTGAAAATGCTTATAAAATTACAATTTAAAAGTACAAAATACAGAACTAAGCACATACGAGATCTGTCTAGTAGAATAGATTAATGATAATTACACTAATGCCTTAAACCATAAATCACTTTTTCCCTCGTACAGTGCGGCTTCACACATTGCGTTATTCGAATATTCACATATTGCAATTAAAATGTTCAAGATCATGACCCAGACACTGAACTTCGCTTTCCATTGAATATAATCGATTAGCAGTTTGGCAATGTTGCGTAACGAAAGCGAATAGGCTTTAAGAGTTTTTTCTCTCGATTTTTTTTCTTTGTAATCGATTTGTTGCTATGCCACCTAATTACATTTGTATGACGTGGGCCAGAAACTTATGAATGGATAACTACGCATCTTGTAATTTGATGTACGTAGGTTGTAATTATTTTGTAGTTATGGGTGAATTAAAATTAAATGGTAGTGATTGTATGTTATTGAAGTTACACTTTTAATTTTGTAAGACTGCCTCTTTGTCGAGGTTGAAAGTGCAAATGCGTGTGTTTCGTGTCCGATTCTGATCGAAATTCTCTGAAGGGACTATCATTAAATGCCTTCTCTCGCCCAGGGCATAGCGAAAGGAAGTGTCAGACTCTTATTGACTAAAAACCCCCCGTTTCTTCTCCTGCTCTGAGCCGAGGTCCCGGTGCCTCATTGCGCTAGCCCCGCAACTTCGGCAGGTTAAATCCTTCCTTAAGGGCAATGCAACTTTTGCATCAGGCCTTTTGTCTGCCACGTACTTGTAACTCCTTAGGTGTTATTTATGATCTAGGGCGGTGCGTATTGCTTACTATCCGGCAATCCGTATGCTCGTTAAATGGCCTACCCAATAATTTTTTTTTGAAGTTAATTAAAACTTTTTTGATTAAAAAACATTAGTGCTGAGTTGAATGTTCGCTTAAGTGACAGCTTTAGAGTGACCATTCGTATTTTGTACTACTCTAATGACACAGATATTTTTTTGTAGGTCACATATTAACTTAACATTAAAATAGTACCGGGTCATTGGTCATTTAATGCAAAGATGAAAATGTTAGACACATCAGTACCTATTAAAGAATCAAAGGACCAAAAAAATGTAACTTATTTTCGATGAATTATTTGTTTTTGGTAAACGATTTTTTTTAGGTTGCCACATATTTTGAAACTTATATTAGTATTTTATAATATATTAAGTTTATTACTATATATTGTTCTTTAATTTTATATATATTGTTCTTTTTTTAATAGAAGAACAATATTTAGCGAATAGAATATATAAATTAGTTGACACGATTTTCAGTAGTAGTGCATTGCCTGAAAAATACTTATCTCGTTTGTTTCTAAATTAAATTCTATTACCATAAATTTAATTTTGTTCCCTTTGAATTAGATGTCGCCTAGCACCAAAACATAGAAATCCATGAAGAAAATGTTAAAAATAAAATCTCCAAATTAATATATACAGTCATTTATTAATTATACATACAGAAATTTCAATTGACTAAAATATCATGACGCTTCTTAGTAGTGGTATCCAGTTTGTTCGTCGAAGGCCTGCTGGGGAGGGTTCTGGTAGGAGCCGGTGTTGGGAGCCAGGTACTGACGGCTGGTGGCGGCAGACTGCTGGGAGTACTGACCCTGGTAGTTGGCACCGAAGGAGTTGGATCCCTGGTGAGATCCAAAAGCGTTGGATCCTTGGTGAGATCCAAAGGCGTTGGATCCCTGAGATCCGAATTGGGAGCTAGGAGCAGAGTATTGCTGAGCGATACCATGGGCGGCGCCATGACCAGCACCGTGACCGCTGTATTGCTGCTGGCTACGGAAGTTCTGGCCACCGAAACCTGTAATCATAAAATTTGTTTACAAATACACTGATATGCGATATGGATAAGTTAGAAAATGTATTTGATTTAGAAATCAATCTCAAATGTCGAATACTCATCATAATATTTTGAAGTAAGCAAATGTATGCAGTCATAATATATGTAAGAGATCTCTATCTCGTTGTACAATATAACATAAGTACTGCTCAAGTCAGTCAATCAAACCGCAATCGAAATACCTAAAACAGTTAATTGAAAACATATTTTTTTGAACATAAACCAAATAATATAAGCGTTATAATATAATACAAACTATGATTTACGATATATTAAATAATACAAATAGTCAAAAAAAAATCATCATATTATTGGTTTATTCATAATTAATGTCAAAATATTTTATTATATTAATTGATATCTCGGTCGTTGCAAATGATTTTATTGCTTTTGACTGTCGAGAATAATTAATTTAAATTAAATTGTATTTGTCTTATTTTGATTTATGTTTTTGAGAACAAATTATGTTCTACTGAATCATTTTGGTTAGTGATATTTTATATATAGTTTTAAAAGTATTACCGGTTAAAGAGCCAGCGAACTGAGGAGCACCCTGAGCACCAGAAGGTCCATGGTCAGGAGGCAGGTACTGGTTGGAGGTGGCGCCAGAGTAACGAGCTCCAGCATTGCGGCCCTGCAGACCTGCTCCAGCGGCACCGAAGGCACCAGAGTTAGATCCGAAGGATCCGTGAGAGCCGGAGCCGAAGCCTCCGTTGGAACCGAAGGAGGACCTGGCGACTCCGACGGAGTTGTCGGGAGGAAGGTAGGAGCGTTCCAGGTGTTCCAGACGACCGGCAGCGGCCACGGCGACGAGGGCGGCGATCACGAACTGAAGGAAATTATAAGTCGTCAAAAAGATCGTCTCGAAGATGATATTCTTTGCCAAATCTATTCATTTAAGAATTTTTATCAATATTGAAACGAGTACTCATGATTATAAAAATAATAAATAGTTAATTTTGCACAAATGAATTTTTAAAAGATTTAAATGAAAACGATCGTAAAATTTTGAAAGCATTAATCTTCATGAATAAATTGTTACGACGATATAAAATTAACACTACAATTGATTACAATCATATTATTATCAGAACTTTAAACACTTAACAAAACATTATTTACCAATTTCATTTTTATATTTTGTTCTTGGAACACTTCAAACCTAAGATGGTTGATGCTCAGATTGGACTGTGATGCTGCTAGTCGACTGACCCATTATATACCATTTGCACTCGATCCTGATCACACGCGCGTGACGTCATTTTATAGCTCAAATAATAAACCAGAGCTGTGATACCTCATGTAATTAGTTGGTAGCTTTTTTGAACTACCGAACGTGATCGACCTCGGATGTCAAGTCAAATCTTTCTGTTTTTTTTCAAGGATTCCATTAATACGTTATGGGAAGAAGGACCGTTGGTTTTCGGTTTTTTGGTACAGTAGGTAATATTTTTTTAGTTCCTTTACAGGCGTTAGAGATATGAAGGTTTTTTTTTTGTAAAAATAAAAACATAAAATATCTTCTGGGTAGAATATTGCCTGTAATATGTTCAAACATAAAAAACCCATTTAGTGAAGAAAAATTAACCTCCTAGAGTATTTGTTTTATATCAAAGAGGCACTTAGGGCTATGAATAAATTCGCGTGTATTGGTAATCTACAGAGTAGAGTGAATAGGCTCTTAATAAACTAGTGCGCCTTACCATCAACGATTGCATCACTGCTTAACATCAGGTGGGTCGCATCGCAGTCAAGCACTGGTTTATTGCAAGTAAAAAAAAAAAAAATCTCTTACAATATTGGAAATCTTTTATCAATGGCAAATACTAAATTAATAATATAATTCAATAAAGCAGTGGTAAATTCAAGGAGCATTAAAATAAAACATCAATATTCCGTAAATCGATTTTAAACGAAAGTATCGATACATCGATTGATATCAGTTCACTGTCTGGGTCGTGATCTTGAATGTTTATTGGATTGCGTGAATCGAGATCATTACATCGTGTCGTAACAATATCTGTAGCTCATAATCATATCTGTACATATGGGAGGTGTTTTATGGCAATATTTTACACGTTACTGAGACATCGGAAGTGACCCTAATATTTTGAGTATCATCTCGGTCCCATTCTTTATAATTCTGAGTAGGGTTAGAGCTATATATGTAGGTCATGTGCAATGCCATATCCTGGCCCGCGTCGGAGGAAGCCCCCACTCTTGCCTTATTCTTGTCTCGCACACAGAATGGACATTATCGATGATTTTACCTCCCCAAAAAGACCCAATCCTTCCCCTCCCCCGATCCCTCCCAATCCCTAAATCTCCAAAACCCTAATCCCTATAAGGTCGGCAACGCACTCGTTACTCCTCCGTTACGGGTGTCCATAGGCGGCACTGATTACTTACCATCAGGTTATCGGTCTGCTCGTTTGCCGACCTATTCAATAAAAAAAAAATAGTATATGGAGTGATTATTAAAGCTGCTTGTTTCATTCCTAGACATCCATGCTCATTTGGTACTAAGTACAATAATCGTGAATATCATTTCATGTAAAGTAAAAATTAATTAGGTACTAATAAATACCAAAAGTCGTCCGATCATAAATTGGTTTTGTAACAAAATGAAATCTTTAAGTTGAATGTTAAACAAAAGATTACTTATTTAATATAAAAAGGTGAAATGTTGGCTGTCAAAAAATATGAAAGAAGGCTTTATCATTGTAAAGATGGCGACTGATAAATATATATGTATTTGAAAGTGCTCTAGATTTGTACAACGTTCCTAAATCTTAATTAATATTAGGTATAAAGTAATAGCATATTAGTTGGTTGGTTCGCTACGGCATATTTTTAGGGAGAAACCCATCAAATGACTACTTTCGACTGGGTAGACCAAGAGGGAGTGTCAGACTCTTACTGACTAAAAAAAGCTTTATCCGCAAGACCGCGTTTACTTCCAAAGCGCGGTAGATCGTGCTTTTGTCGTACGTTGAAGCAGTAGACCGCGTCATCGTCCGCGCAAATACAATTATATGAACATTCTGAGCAATGTAAACCGAGCCACATGACGTGCGAAATTGTTTTCTGAACTTCATCACTCATTAACTGAAACAGGTATCTATACAATTTAAAAGATACCATTAAAGATTATGAGGTACCGCGACCTCGGCACAGAGCAGGAGAAGGAACAGGGGGGTTTTTAGTCAGTAAGAGTCTGACACTCCCTCCTGCCCGGCCCTGGGCGGGAGAAGTCATTTGATGATTTTCCCCTCACAAAAAAAAACCATTAAAGATTACTAGATACTCTCGCGCAGTTTCATAAAATGCTCGGCTCAATTTGATCATAGCGTGATACTAAGTATATAGTTTTTCTCAATAAATGGATTAACGAGAACAAAAACAATTGTTCAATTCGAACCAGTAATTTTGGAGATGAGCGCGTTCAAACCAGCAACCAAACAAACTCTTTACAAACAAATGAAACAATGAAACAATGAATTTATTTTTGCAAATAGGCCTTAAAACGGCACTTTTACACGTCAAATTATATGTGAAAAACTAGATGAAGCCGGCATTTCCTATCTGACTACTCTGAGAAGAAATGCCGAAACAAACTCAGAGGTCAGTCTCTTTTCAAGTCCAGACAATATAAAATAACATAATGTGAGAGAACCGTGCAAGTTCATTCTGTAGTGGTCTTTTGAGGAAAGAACCACACCAGTTTAAGTGGACCCGTTCTGAAGACAGGCACGCAAGTGTCAGTTTGCAACCATATAGCTAGTGCTGTTGAGTTGTCCGACGAACAATACCGATCAAAAGAACATTTGGGTGGGTCGCGCAAGTACTCAAACTGTCAGAACGCAGATGACTGGTGATAAAAAAGCACGACAAGTCTCACACGGTCCTTACACTAACAATAATATAAAATAATAAAAATGTCAACAAATAAATAAAAAAAAAATGTCAAATAAAAAATAAAAATGTCACAATAGGTGATCATGTCATTGTATAAAAAAAAATAAAAAAAAATAAACGTAATGTCAAATTGTATATAAAAGTGTAACTTATGTTACAAACATGTCAACATGACCTGTGCAGACATTACAGCGGCTCATTCCCAAGCCTGACTATCCTCTAAGTAGTCTTTTATTTTATAAAATGCTTTACAGCAAAGTTTAGCCTTTATTACACTTTTAAATTTATTGAGGCTCAAATTTTGAATGTCGCTAGGAATTTTATTGTAAAAGCGTATACATTGACACCTAAACGAACTACTTATTTTCTGAAGCCTGGAGGCAGGCACAACATATTTGTTTTTCCCCCTCGTGTTGATATTATGTATATCACTATATTTCTTAAATAAGCTTTTGTTTTTATGAGCGTGTATTACATTTTCATAAATATATTGAGAGGCAACTGTCATTATTTTAGATTCCTTAAATAATTCTCTGAGCGAATGCCTCGGACTAAGATTATAGATTGATCGAATAGCCCTTTTCTGCAGAACAAAAATAGACTGGATGTCAGCAGCATTCCCCCACAACAAAATACCGTATGACATGATGCTGTGGAAATAACCAAAATAAACTAACCGCGCTGTATCTATATCTGTTAAATTTCTAATTTTTTTAACGGCATATGCTGCAGAACTGAGCTTCTTCGACAAGCCATCTATATGTGGGCCCCACTGGAGCTTAGCGTCCAGGGTTATACCTAAAAAGACAGTTGTATCTACAGGACTCAACTCCTCGCCCTTGACAAGCACACTGGTTTTTATCTGTTTAACATTTGGTGTTGTGAATTTAATACATTTAGTTTTAGTTTCGTTTAGTAATAAGTTATTCACACCAAACCAGTGAACTATTTCTGAGAGAGCACTGTTTACATTGTCAATTAATGATTGTCGTAGTCTGAGTTTGAATAATAGTGAGGTATCATCAGCAAACAGCACTATCTCGTGTTTATCCCTTACAAGGTAAGGCAAGTCATTAATATAGATAAGAAATAAAAACGGGCCGAGAATAGAACCCTGCGGAACACCCATCTTCACAACAGACCCGGCAGAAACCATTCCGTTTACTTCGACTCTCTGAACCCTATTACTCAGGTATGAGGTAAGAAGGTCCAGAGATGCACCTCTAATTCCGTAATGGGAAAGCTTCCTGATCAGTGTATCATGAAGCACACAATCGAACGCCTTGGATAAATCACAAAATATTCCCAAAGCGTCGCTTGAGTCCTCCCATGCGTCGTAAATATGATTAAGAAGTTCAACACCGGCATCAGTTGTTGAACGACCCCTTGTAAATCCGAATTGCTTCGCATGTAATAATTTATTTCTATTAAAAAATCTTTGCATTTGATCTAAAATGATTTTTTCAAAAATTTTACTGAACGTAGGTAGTACTGAAATAGGTCTAAAGTTAGTGGGGTCAGAAGTACTACCTGATTTAAATAATGGAATTATTTTACTACATTTCATAAGATCAGGAAACACACCACAGTCAATACAGTTATTAAAGATTTGAGCCAATACAGGTGCTACAATAGTTATTACAGAGCTTGTAATGTACACAGAATTACCCCATAGATCTGCAGTCTTTTTGTTATTCAAAGTATTAAAGATTTTAACAATGTCTTTGTTATTTATGTGTTTGAAGGAAAACCCTGAATCGCAAGCTACAACATGTTCTTTGAGTAAAGACTCTGCAACAGTGGGAGATGAATTCAGTGACTTTGTAGTGGATACAGGAATGTCGGAAAAGAAATGTTCAAAAGCAGTTGCAATTTCTACATCCGCTTTTATTAACTTATTATCAATTACTAGACTATGTTGACTAATTCTTTTTTTAGACCTTCCTGCCTCACTGTTGATAATGTTCCAAGTGTCTTTGATAACATTGGTACTGTTCTTTATCTTAGAGCTTAAGAATAGAGATTTTGCAATAGAGCAAACTTTTTTAAATAATTTAGAATAGTTTTTTACATATTCACTGAATTCAACAGTATTAATATATGTCCGCTCATTATAGAGCTCATAGAGGCGATTTCTACTCTTATAGATACCAGTGGTTGCCCAATCACCAAAAGACACATTGCTATTAGCTGGAATAGTTTTATCTGTAAAAGTAGACTTAAACTCTGTTAGGTACATTTTAAAAAACTTATCATATAAAGTGTT